TGACTGACTGACTGACTGACTGCTTTGATTTGATTTGATTTGAGTTGATTTAATTTGATTTGATTTATTGTTTTATTGATTGATTGATTGATTTGATTGCTTGATTGATTCGATTGATTGATTGATTGATTGATTGATTGATTGATTGATTCATTCATTCATTCATTCATTCATTCATTCATTCATTCATTCATTCATTCATTCATTCATTCATTCATTCATTCATTCATTCATTGATTCATTGATTCATTGATTCATTGGTTCATTGATTCATTGAGTCATTGATTAACAAAGACAAAACAGATAGACAGACACATAGATTAGATAGATTAGATAGATTAAATAGATGAGATGAAATAAATAGATTAGATCCATACATTAGATAGATTAGACAAATGGAGAAATAGATAGTTGAATAATCACGACCCCTGGGCCCCCAGAGAGGCACCCAGCTAATTGATTGCATGCATGTTTACAAGGTTTGCCTACGGCAATGTCCGTTTGGCTCAAGATTGAAATTCCATGTTAAAAACAGCAGGGTTAGTCCGCGCTTACCGGTGCGTGGTTGAGAAAGGTCCCGTCTTCTGGTTCGCTGTGTTTCTTTCCCGGTCGAGTGGTTATCAGCCGTAATCGCTTTTTGGGATAGGCCCCCTCGGTCCGGCAAGTGCGTGCGCCTCATGCACGGACCCCGCGAGAGCTGAATTTTCAGCACGCGGACAACGGGGCGGTTGCGTACATCGTCGCAGGTGCTGTCACGAGGCCTACGACGAGCTCAACCGCTGGGCGTGGCGGCATTTTCAGAAGGTTCCGTGGGAAGAAGCTACAAGCGACTTCTGGAATTCGCCTGCAGCCTGGCAAGAGGACTTTACCAACAGCCATCGTCATCTCCGGGACGCATATCCACAGCTGTATCAAGCTGTCATTGCCAAGGGCTGACACCAGCCATCACCACTGCAACAAGGGGCAAAGGCCGCAGCTAAAAGCGTGGCAGGGCAGGCCAGTGATCCTGCTTCGCAACTGTTGACAGTACAGGAGTGTGGGCCCTTCAGCATGGACACTCAACACGGCGGGCGCGTCACGCCCCGCCTTCTCACGATCCGTACGACTTGCCGGGTTCGTATTGGCATAGGCTACCAAGGGCCGCTTCGCCCTACGGTGCATTCGCGAACGAGGACCCCGCGCGGACCGCTCAGCATTTTGACTTGAGGAGCACTTCCCCATCTCCACAACTCTCCAGCGTGCTGCGCTCAATCCCAACAGAGTGCACGAGGCCGAGCAGGTGACCAAGAGGCCAGCTCCTGCCAAGCGTGAACCATCAGCAGCTCCCGCAAACACCTGAAGGATTGTTCTTGAAAATGGGGCGAACCCGGTCAAGGCACCTCCGCAACGTGTTATTGAAATCGCTACGCGATCCGCCGACGCCAGTGGACAGTCCCCTACTGATTTTCTGGGGCTGATGTCACCTGGGGCTCTTAACGCGTAAGAAGAACAAACAACGCCGCTCTGACGTCGGCTGCAGGGTGTCTTGAATTTTGGGTAGGGAAAAAGACTCATTTTTTTTGCCTAGGTCAAGTGGGGCTCTTAGCGTGTGGAAGGAGAACGCAAACAATGCCCCTCTGACGTCGTCTGCAGGGTGCCTCGAATTTGGGGCCGGGAACAAGACGTCCTTTTGCCTAGGTCACATCGGGCTCTTAACGTGTTGTGGGCGAACAAACAACGCCCCTGTGATGTCGGCTGCAGAGTGCCTCGAATTTGGGGTAAGGAAAAAGACGATTACAAGCAGCGCCCTCTAACGTCGGCTGCAGGGTGTCGAATTTGGGGCAGGAAACAAGACGTTTTTTTTTGCCTAGGCCATATGAGCCTCTTAACAAGTGAAAAGAGACCAAACGACGCCCCTTTGAGGTCGGCTGCAGGGTACCTCAAGTTTGGGGTCAGGAAAAAGACGTTTTTTTGCCCAGGTCACATGGGTCTTTTAACGCCTGGAAGCAGAACAAGCAACGCCCGACAACAAACACCGCCCCTCTGAGGTGCCTTGAATTTGGGGCAAGGAAAAATACATTTTTTGCCTAGGTCACATGGGGCTCTTAACACGTGGGGTAAGGAAAAAGACGTTTTTTTTTTTGCCTAGGTCAGAACGACAAAGCACGGCAAGCAGATTCCAATTCCAGAACTGGGGGGACGTTTCCTTGGCAGCTATGTCCTGGGCAGAATTCAGCACAACAACGGCATGATATATAATTGGAGACCCCAGATCAATAAACCCATCCTGGTATTAAGGGTGTTCCCCACCAAAAAGAAGCCACAAGACCAAAACACCCCCCTATTGATCAGCCACGAACTTAGTTCCCATTGGTTACATGGCTTGCTTGGGGTCCTGTGACAGTCAAGCCGGCCGTGCACCAAGATCGTGGCCTCGTTCATGACCACGGTGATCTGTTGCATTCTCCACCGCTGCGGTGAAGCTGCTCGGCGCAATAAGCAAGACAGGGGTGCAAATCTCGCAATGGGCCTGCCCTTGCTGTCGCCCAGACAGGCCATCGGATGTCCATAGCAGTCGGTGGTGATTGATGCTGGCCATGAGAGACCCTTCTTCACGAGTGGTTTCATATCCCCTGCCTTGTGCATTCACCTCCCGATTCCTTTTCAGAAGTCTACACAACTAACTTTGAGCACTGCACATAGCTGGTGAAACATGCTCGTCATCAGGAGTGTCCACTAGATTATGTTGGATGTGTATCGCAATGTGTTTATCAGCCTCAATGTTCACCGACTGCATAGGCATGCCACGTCGGGTTGTGGTAGGATACGGAAACACTGAAGAGATTCGCAATGGTGATTCATGATCTTTGCCACGGCCGTTGCTGAGCACATGTTTCATTTGTTGATGTTGCGATGCTCATGGTATTGTTGCTGTGTTTGCCGCAAACATGTGTATATATATATATATATACACATATGTTTGACTGGCGCTCACATGACAATCTGGGACAACCCTTCACACAAGTCAGGCCAGAATCTGAATTGGAAGCGGGGGAAGAGGCGTGAAAGGACTGAAGAGTCACAGACGACTCGGGAGGCTAAAGGCTTCTTCAGGTACCACAATGTTGGCCAAGCGTACAAGCAGGGAAAAGAGTGCTTTGTCCATCCGAGAACATTCGTAATTTGTGCTGCCACCAATCTTGTGTTCACTGATTTGGGGGATATGGGATCGAGCCAAACTATCCTGGGCACGAGCAACTTTTTCAGGGTTCCCCAGTCCTTTGCCCCTACTCCCAGACCTTGTGGCCTTTTGGTTTCTTGTGGCTTGGCAGTTTTCCTTTTGGAGAGTCGGCTCCCGTCTCCAATTTAGTTCTGTTTGCGCGACCTGGAAATCCTACCTTGAAGACCCCAAGTGAACAAAGTGCAGGATTTCCTTCGCAATATGGTTCAAAGAGTAATAGTGAGTGCCCCTTTGGTGGACTAAACACCTGTGCCTTTCTTCTATGTCCCTTCAAGGTTTGCCCAAGTTTAAGCAAGCCAAGCGGTTTCTCAAACTAGTGGCCCCAATGGTTTCCTTTGGTTTCAACAGGAAACCAAACCGAAGTCGTTTCAGGATCCCATAGACTGATGGAGAGGGTTGCTCCGAGCTGAACAAAGCTCACCGAACAAGTCTCGAACGGTTTCTTTGTCTAAAACACCCTCCAGGTACCTATAGGTGATTTGGGGATTTCAACCCCTGGCGTTTGTACAGGTTAATGGGAAACCACCCCCGAACTTCCAAACCACGAATCGAAGCCACCAGAGAGAGGGAGGATTGAAGGTGTGGTGAGGTTTCGTCGCTTCGGGACCTGAGGTGCGCCACGAGCGGTGCCGGCATGCTTAAGCCCTTTTGGTATTGAAAGAGGGGTCAAATCAGAGAGGACCCCTACTGCGAGAAACACGGCGCGGGCTCGCTCGCCCAATGGGAAATCGGACACTTGGCATTTGCGGTCAACCGGGGGCCAGACTGGTCAGCCTGAAGGCTTGAGCTCCCCATTCCACGGTTCGCCAACTTGAGCGCGACCCAATGGCAAAAGCTGCATCTCCAGTTCGAACACACTGCGCAGGTTGCATGCGGTGGTGCCACACCCCTTGAACCCTCTGCAATCGAGCCAACAAGCCCTCTTGGCCTTGGTACTGTACCATGTGCAGCGATTGCCCTCTCCAGACACCAACTGGTGCCCTTTTTGCCCCTTTTGCTGGAGGGCTTCCCTTTAAAGGCAACTACCAAAAAAAGCCGCTTTTTCTCAGGTCCACTCAGATGGACTTGTTCTTGTTTTGGCAGTCCACTTTAGTTGTAAACAACAAGTTTCGACCTTCTTGGCCGATTCAGCCAGTGAGCTACATGATTTCAAGTTGCCTTTGGATTCTTTCGGGGTCCAACAGTGCACCTTGGATTCTGCGTTGCTGCATCTCCGCCAGGTGGTCACTCAGAAAGGAGCTTGGGCAGCAACGGTCTGCTAGCTTGGACGACATCGTTTGAGAGGTCGAGGTGTCAAAACGACACACGAGGTTTCACAAGGTCGCTGATTTGAAGACTGCGGCGCTCGGCGCTCGGGACTCGCCCATGCTTTAAGCGGCGAGGACCTGCTTTCACCATGCAAAAGAACGAATTCTCGGTGCCTCCATGTGTTCCCAGTGTCCAGAAGGGGTGGTAAAATGGTTGAATACGTGGTTTGAAAGGGATACCAAGTTGCAGCCCATTGCTAGGACACGTCCCTTCCGCCACAGTTTTGGCAAACATTTTTAGGGTCCGCTCAATTTTAGGATTCCCTGGTTTGGGGACACCCAAATTCCTGTGGCAGGGTTGCTCCGGACGAACTTCAAAACCATGAAGGTACAGGCGGTCCAGTCCTTTTCCAAGCCTCGTTTCACCTTGAAACCTACAGGGAGAGGCTGTGAAACCATGGTGTTGAGTCAACCTTGTGCCGTTTCTCCTGGAACCCTGGAAGCTGCCGCGGGCATGTGTGGCACGGCGCCAGGGCTCTGTGCAGCTCATGGCGAACTTGCTGAAGCTCGCCCCCAGGCGTCGGCTTCGTGGCAGACCCGTCAAAGACATGTGAGGAATCTGTAGCCTTTGTGAGTTGCAAGAGTTTGGGTTGCCATGTGTTGCACTGCCAGGGGAATTGCGGGGGTGGAGTTCTATGGTCCAAGGTGGTGTCCTTATGTTCCAGTTCTTTCGGCCTGAACGGGGCTCTCCTCCCTCCATGTTTGGGCGAATGGGCACGAGCTCGCATTGGGGTGAGGCGAGCTCACTAGGATGAAGGTGCTTTCCTTGAGAGTTCCATCGGTCGGGTTTTGCTAATATAAAGCAAACTTCAGCGACACTAAGTCGAGGTAAGATATTGCATATTGTCCACTTGATTCGGTATGAAGTGTTGAAAGCTTTTGCGGAAATCACTTATTTGAAGTTCGTTGCGAGTAGATATTATATTCTATGGTAAGACTCTTTGTGTTTTTTATAGTTTACACAGTTTGTTTGGTTCAATTCAACACACGTAGGAGGGCTGAAGAAAGAGCGCATTCACTTGCTTTTACGTTGTCCTATATTGCCTCGAAATGATCTGCCAGTGCTGCTATAAATATTGAAGGTTGCGACAGTTTCCCAAAACGTCACAAAAAGTAATGTCTAGGATTATTAATGTGACGGGCAACTGGAAGCACCACGGAATCAAACAGAGTAATTTGCCCAGATAGCAAGCACTTGCTTTGTGTATGCTAACAAACTTACGTGTGGCTATTTGTCTATCTATGTTGTTACATATACATGTATATAAAGTTGCTGGTATGTTTTCGATTGGACCTTTGTTTACCTTGCGCCTGTTTTATTCAGTCCGCCAAACACGAACATTGGACATCTCTGTTGCCCGGGTGATAACCACACAGATGTATGCTGCAAGCAAGTAGATGCATGATATCTATATATATATATACACCTGTAGAGCCAGCGAAGCCGGTTGGCGGAAGTTTCAAAAATATAAGAACGTCAGTTCTCTTTATCTTTTTTTGTATCTCTTTCTCTCTCTCTCTCTCACTCTCTTTTTCTCATTATCTTTCTATTTCTATGTATTTTTTCACTTTCTTTTCACTATTTTATCCGGTTATTTGGTCATTGAGCTCTCAAGAATCGTGATCGACCCGTCGTTTTTGATTTGTGGGATACTTTTTTTCAGCAGAATTGTTGGAAGATTGTGACCGGTTTCCGACAGGCTTAAATGTTTGTGGCATTCCTTGCGAGGCACTTTGTGGAATTGCCTGACCAGCCGTGGCGGCGCCCCCACATGATCGGAGAAGGATCATGACTGGAGCGATAGAACTCGGGATCAAGAACGGGAATTCTTGCGACCCGGGTCGTTTGCGACGCCTGCACAACGGGTTCCCTAAAAGGGTCGAGTTTTGTCGACCACACCCACGTGTTCTGTTCTTTAAGCATATCATATATTTGTTGTCTAGTGTCTTCAAGGTTCTTTGAGCTCGTACTATTTTCTGCTGCATGCTTGCCACGATTGTCTTTGCAACATTGGTGACCAACATGATTCAGATGGTTGTCGAAGATCTCCCCCTGAGGCAGGAGCTGTTGTCATGCTACAAAGCTAATCTGCTGGTCAAGATGACTCCAGGTGGTCTAAGCTTTGAAACTATTTCAGCTCCGGGGTTGATACATGCTGCGGCTGGAGCTCCGTTCTTAGCCTGTTTGGCATTCTGCATTTTGCGGACTGAAGCCCCTTCTCCATGTGAGGCAAGCGATTCAGCATTTGTTCCAGCCCGTGCATTATCATAAATTAGTGAATCACCGGATATGTCTCATTGCTGTGATTTTTCCTTTAAGAACACGCACCCACACTCTGCAGTGTTTCATGCCTAGTACTTCTGCAGTTCAACCCGTGGCCTTACCTTCGTCCAAGTCGGAAGAGTTACACGGCCGCAACGGATTGGGGCGAGGGAGCGACATTTTGATGAGCGGGTGAGAGTGGCAGACGTCCAAATCTAAACCTGAGCTGAAACACAGCGCATGGCTGATTGAGGCTGCAGCACGTGTACGACCACTTCGGCACGGGGCGTGACTTCCTGTCAGCAGCCGCCGAGAAGAGTGGGAAGAAGTGGCCTGCCCGGCATGAACTTTGTTTTTCTGGTTCTGAGGAAGGGAATGAACCAGAGCTTGGGGTATGAACCGAGGTCATTCAAAGGAAACAACAAGGAATGGTTCATGAGGGTCATTCCCTCAATCTCTGCTGAGAACCAGCCAATTGTAGGCCAGGGTACGTTGCAAGGCTCTATACAGGTGATCTGGTTGACAACCCTAGCTAAATGTCTCTTTGTGGGCAGACATACGAATATCAGACCCACAGTCTTAGCAAATATACAAGCACAACAAGAAAATACTGTGCATTCCGAAGAGGCGTTTGGAAGTATTTTCGCGAAGCGAAATGGATCGAGAATCTATGGCAGGAGCTTCACGGGCCCACTGGTGATGTCAGACTGGTACGGCAGGCTGGGGCTTGGGCAGGGCATCCTCAAGTTACTGTGCGACCTCGAGAAGTGGCACACGTCTAAATTGGGACGGAAAGGAACCTCCAGTGAGCCCTGGGAAGCTGCAGTGGGTCAGGGTGCTGAAGGCCATGCTATTTGATTTGGAGAACATGAGTGCGCAGTCGAGGTTCAAGTGGCGCTATCTTTTCTCGCTGTAGTTCCAAATATGGTCCATTGCTCAGGAGTCCCAGGTTGCTTGACTTGACAGAAGCCTCATGCTGTCTAGGCGTCTCACCTGAAAATAGAAATGTGTGCCCCTGCGGTTCTTCTGAAAGAACTCTGTGCTGGAAAACCGGATTTGGGAGGGTCCTGCGTGACCTGGAGACTTGAGACCCTTTCGCACCTGTGCGCTACCGATGTCCGAGTGGCTAACCTCAGGCGCGAGCTTTGGCTCATGGAGGAGGTAGCCCAGGCGTGACTCCGTCGACGGTCCTAGGTCGGGTGATTTTTTGGGGGCAATTGCAGCCCTTGCTGATTTTGCATTTATCGCGAGCATATGGTGCATCAAAATATTGTTGGTTGGGGACAAAAGCTGAATTAGTTGCTGCTCGGAAAAGCAACAGTCAGTGTTTTGTCCAACCTTGGCATTTCGGGGAGCCGCCGCGGGTAACTCACATTCTTTCGTTAGGCTTTGATCATTGAAAGGACGGGCTCTTAATGACGTCACCGAAGCCCTGTCTCACCTGTTCGGGACACTACTAGGCCATGAGATGCTTGATTTTGGCGGCTCGTTCTGAAATCTTTGGGGGATTTTGTGTTCACTTTCTAGTTTCAGGTGTATTTACAAGATGAGTTGGTTTTTAAAGATATACCAGCAGTCTTTTCTTTTCAGAGATCATTTCATGGATCATTGGTCACTTTATTGTCCACAGCGTTGTTTCAAGCGTTCCCGTTTGGCGACTGCTCGCTGCCAGGACTGTCAAGTTCTGACCAGGCCTGAACTTCAGGCGCGCTCTTAGCCTGGAGCAACCGTTGTTTAGTCCATCGTTCAGTGGCATCCCTGCCGCCTTTTTTATTGTTCGTGGCGCTGAGTGGCTGAAAAATGTCAACCCTTGAGCAAGGTCACTAGGCTGGGAACCTGTCGAGTTTGAAAGGATGTAACAGCCACGTTCTGGCACGGCGCCCTTTTTCATTGTGCAGAGTGGCTCTTTCATCCGGAACATGTTCCCAACAAAAATAGAGGAGCTCATGCGAAGAGGGCCCTTTGCTCCTTTTGAACTCAACAGCCTGACTCCCGAGGCTCTCTTCCCCACGTTGCTGCCGGAGGCCAGGGACGCCACCTGTTCCCATCGAAGAACTCCAAAGGAGATCCGTGTACACATGTGTACACCATGGTTGATGCATTGCTCATGAAGGCCGAACCCTTGAATGGACACTTTTGGGCCAATTTATCGGGTTCGAATGAGAACCAAGTTCTGGTTGGGACGCTGATTGTTTCCAAAAGCAGGTGTTGTAGTTCAATGCGGGTATGTTCCGTGTTAGCTTTGTTTGGGGGGGCCAGTTCGGGTCATTCCCGGGCTTTTCGGTGCCGTGAAAAGGCGCAATGATCAAGCCAGGCCTGGTGCCGGATCAGATTGGATGGGTCCCTTGGCATGTGGTGCAGCCTTGGCCCAACGGTCTCCTAAGACATGGTGCGTGAAGAAGCTCAGCTGCGTGGTTCTTGAAGGCTGCGTTCCGCAGCCTCAGAAGGCTCTGGCTCAAGAAGTGCACATCATTGTGACCGAGTCAAACGGTTTAACCCAGAATCCCGAACATGTCAGCTGTGAGAGAATAGCCCCACGCTCGGTTGTTCAGCCTTTGATTTCGTTTTCGCTTGAAGATGGCCTTTGCTGTGCAGCCACATCCGACTAGACACTTTGCCACGAAAGGAATCGGGCCGCCGTTTCCATGCCGCACCTTCCCGGCCTGGAGACGGAGTGGGTGAAGGCAGTAAACTCCGAATGGCCATGAAGGGTTTGGGCCATGCGCTTGGCGTTGGCGACGGAAACCTTCTTTTTTGTTGAAAGGGTCAGTCCAGGCTGAGCGGAGTTTTCAATGACCAAAACTTTGGGTAGACAATTGGTGGGTCCTATGGCGGAGCCCACGAAAAGGCTTGGCTCCGCCAAAAACGCCAGAAACGGCGTCCAGTTTTGGGAAACCACCGAGTGTCTTCGTCGAACTGAAGCAGAGGTTTGGGATATCGTGAGCCTTGCGTTTGCCGGTGTTTTCAGCTCCCTTCAGAGACACATGGACACACTTGCACATGTTCCGTGCACGCATGGGGAAGATGATTGCAACCAGACTCGCAAAAAGCTGCCAGGTAAGCGATGAGCCCGGGCACCGAGAGGTCCGGAGTTGTGCCGAGCTCCCTTTGTGCTGTTTGTGTTACCGGAGTTCGGTATGCATGAGGTCACTTTAAGGACACATTTCTTGGCTAGTGATGCACATGCGCAAGGAACCGTAAACTTGCACGCAGATGTGAATGCGCATGATAGATACTGGGAAAGTAGGCTTATGTGTTGACCTTGGGTAGAGGGACATATCAATGTAACGTTACGGCTTGTCATGCTCTCCTAGGTTATTTGTACATGGCTTGCGACCAGTAGTATTGGCGCAAAGACATCAACATGTTTCAAGGTGTCATAAATCTGGGCTCGAAGACTCACGAAGCTAGTGATTCCCAGAAGCTACCCCAACGGCATAGTTTCAGTGGGTTCTAACAAATGTATACGCATGTGTTCTAGGATGCTAGCCGCATGCTTGCCCTTTGGTGGAACCTGTTTAGGGTCCCCTGAATGGTACAGGATAAGTGATGCGACATCAATCTGTGGCAGACCGGACACTGGACACGACTTTGCGGATGGAAGTTGCCCTTTTCTGATGCGGAACACCTTGGAAGGCTTGGAAAGTGTGAATGTCAAGCGGAGCCATAGCTGCATTTAGGTCAGTTTGGTCCCGAAAATAGTTGGTACTGGTCCTGGTTGCAGATTAGTTCTAGTCACGGAGTGCCACCTATTCCAAAGGACACCTGGGCTCGGAATGCCGTGCGAGGATCGGAATGAAGGAAAACAGAGTCCTCAAATCTTATGTGCTCGGGATTCCCAGATTCATCTTCACACACGGGGTCCTTTTGTTGGAGTGAGGCCACTGCTAAGATCCCAAGACAATCCAAGTCTGAAACGAGAGGGAAGGCTTTGTCAAGTCAGACGTGAGCATGGGACTTGAACACGCAGCAATACCTTGATTACTATGACGAGCATTGACCACCACCCAAGCCTCACGGGGCCACTCATTGTATCGTTGGTTAAGGTGGTTTTTCGAAACATAGAAAGCCGAGGCCCCTCATGTTGATACGAGCGGCTGTGAATTTGAGGCCCCCTCTTGGGGAACTTTCGCAATGTTGTCCGTGGCTCAATTTCCGCCATTTTTTCGCAGACGTTTTGAATTCGACCCAGGATCAAAGTAATACGTGGGGGTATGTCCCAATTTGGAGGAAATCCTTCGCTTCGGGGAAACACCCCCCGCATCCTGTACTCCGCCAAAATGAGCCAATGCGCTCGACGAGGCTGAGCTTCTACTGGCATCGGCCCTCTTGGGAGACCGTGCAGCGGCAAAGCGAAGATCCAGAGGTGGCGACTTGTCGCAGCCGATGCCGCCGGACCAATGAGACCCAGGGGGGTGAGTCCTCTTCCTTGACGCGCTTTTGCAGACCTCGAATCCTGGCTGTCAGGACGCCCTATATATTTTCCTTAGGGGATTCAACCATCACCTTCTTTGAGGCGATGTCAAGTGAGTCCCTTTTGGTAGGCTGATGTTTAATGGGTACATACTACAGGGAGCCCTGGTGATTCATTGCCAGACTCAAGTAACCTTGTTGCCGTTGCCCTGTAGGGCTTCCCTCATTTTCCCTTTTAGCCAGCAAAGAGTGAAGTTCTTGCGCACAGGCAAAGTCTGGCCAGGATCAGGATTTTGAATGATTTGGGTGTGCTGTCTGGTGGACACAAATCACAAATGACTTCGACCAAGTTTCCTTGTTGGAAGGGATTCAAGATTGAATGGTGCTGTGTGTTTTGCCAAGCCCTAATGTGAAATCGCTTTGCATGGTCTCTCCATTCCCATTCCCGTTTCAAATCAACTAAGAAATCGGTTGCCCTTTTGCTCTGGCCCCTGCAAAATGGGAAACCGATCAGGAAAGCTTCCTCTTTCAGGGCCACGATCCATTTCAAGGGACGCTCACTGCAATCACTCCAATTGGTCCTAAGTTGGTGTTTTGGCCTTATGGGTTGCAGTGGGGTCCATTGTCATGCAAAGTGCACAACTCTGGTTTCCAAGGGCATTGCCATGGCATTGCCCAAGCACAGGTAGCAAGCCACCAAACATCAACATACTGCGGTGGTTACCCACACAGTTGGTAGTTAAGTTTTAAGCAGCGTTTGTTTGCTTTTTGCAATGTTCCTTTCAGATGAACCTGGTTCCATGTTGGGTGATGCTGTGGATAGACGACCTCTTGGATCAGTTGGTAGGTGGTTGACCCCAGTATTCATAGCTATTGATCCATCCCAACCGGGGCGTTTTGTGGTTTTTGACCATCCACATTGTCGAATTATTGCGATGCTTGACCCTAGCATTGTGATATCCTTCTAGACTATTCTGGTTTCATGTCAGATAGCATCCAATTCATCCAGCGGTTCTTCATTTCAAAGTCAGGACAATTTTTGCTGCCTTTCTGTGGGAGATGAAGCATTGTATAAGATCTTTGTGATTTGCTCGATGTCCGAGCTTCGAGATACCTGGGTCAACACGGGCCTTCGCCAAGGTACGGATCTTTCTCAATGGCTGCTTCGACCTCATGCATGCGGCTCGTCGCGACCCCCGGAATCTCCGCAGCCGGCACCATGACACCACGCGTGCGCGCGCTTTTCACGACATCAGTTTGCCTGGCAAGCACAATATGAGGTACATATTTCGTGGTGTGCGCAGCACTTTCGGAGGGTCACGAGCAGATTTTGTGGCAGGCGCGCTTTGGCAAGGTCATGTGCAGATTTCATGGCAGGCGCAGCACTTTCGCAGGTGCATGACGCAGCAGGAAACAAATGCTTCCTGCCATGAGGTCTGCTTCTTATGCTCGCGTGATTGTTCGGTTGCTCCTCCTGTCCTCGTTCTCTTCCTGCCTTCCTGCCTGCCTTCCCTTTCGTTGCTTTCTTCCAGTTTCCAGGCCACTGAACTGAAGCAGCGCATGTCGTCCGTGCTTCCAAATTCAGGCTGAGAGCGTCAGCTGCTCGGATTCTTGCACGGGAAAGGTTCCGCGGGCACGAATGAGCCTGTCTCAAGATGGAGAACCCACTTTGCAAAAACCTTCATGGATCAGCCACAAGCATGAGTCCCTACTCGCAACATGTCTTGCTCGCTTAAACAACATGTGCTCCGCCTTACACGGATAGAAGACAATTATTTCATGTTGAGGCTGATAGCGAAAACTGCTCGACCTGTTTGTGCACTGATTTCAGCACGTCATCAGTGAGACTGTTTTGATTGTCGAGGCACTCCACAGAACAAGCAGGATGCCCACTTGGGCGCATGTGATTTTGGAGAGTATATGCCCTCTGAAATTGGTCTAAAGGGAAGCCCAAAGGGGACACCACCGTTTTGCGGTCGCCCCTATTTTGACACATACTGGGTTTCACGAGAACTATTCGGTCCTTGTTTGTATTTTGTTTCCTCGTTTCAGGGCCATTTCAACTATATGCCCACTGGTGCATCATCAATTCCTCAAACCTTCAAACAGTGGGTGGACGCAATCCTGCACCACTTGGGATAGATGACCCCTCTGAAGGAGGAACCCCCTACCAACTGGTGCAGCATTTTGTCCATCCAGGGTAGGGGGTGTCCAAAGGCGCATCCGGAAGGTGGGCCACTTCAATGCCCTTCGCCAAGCCAAGCGGCTCTTCTACCAGCAGGGCTTCAAAAAGGCCACTCGTCGCCAAGTTTTTTTGAGCAACGAAAAAGCGATGCCGCGAAAGGCCGTAGCGCAATTTGCTTTCGCCTCAGCCTTAAGGGTTGCAGGTGCAACCTTCATTTGTTGAACTTGCCCTGGAAAATAATAACTTTGCAGTTCAAAGTCCCCTTGCTACTTTTCTATTGTAGTCCCCACGAGCATGTGCATGTCGACCGCGTCCCTTTCCAGCCATTCTGATCCCAGAGTTTTAGCTGGATTCCAGAGGCGCGCCGGACTGTGGCCCTCAAATAAGCAGCGCCCAAAACCCCAGTTGGCCAACTTAGGATGTGTCTGCGTACTACCTAGTTTCATAGAGGTTATAGTAAGGCCTATAGTAACGATCAATGGGTGTTGTGCGCTCAAGTGGCTTTCCATATCCAAACACCCAACCAGAGATTTTCCATGTCCAATGCCCAGCCTCCGTGCAGTGAGCTGCGATTCTTGAGAGCTGCTGATGTCAGTGACTGTTGTCACATGTGCATTTGGTTGTGTCCAGATTTGGCTTAGTTCTATCTTTTTGGCTTAGTGAGAGCGGGGTCGAGCGAGGGCGTTTGATTTCGCAGGCTACATTTGGAAAGACCTTGGCCAATTCGGAGGGTGTCCACTGGAACGGGGGGGGCTTCTTGACCTATCCCTATGCTTTGATTTTGTCGGCCTTGCTTTCAGCTCCCACAATGCCTCTGCGTCCAAGCTTCAAGTTGAACACCCCGCGTGCTTCGTGTGCCCTGCTGCTTACCCAACGTGTCCCGAAGTTCTGTGCCTTGGGCCTTGGGAACGAGCCTGTTCGACGTTCTCTCGGCTTTGAAGCAGGTTGAGGGCTCCCTTGGACCCATGTGAGGCCCGGTTTCCCAGAAGGCTTGGGACGGCAAGCCGCGCTCAGCGAAGGTGGTGATGGTGGCGGGGATCCACTCGGACGCGGCGATTTGCGGCGCCAAGGGCCCCCCCATGATGTCAGACGAGGAGAGCGCCTCGTCTGTGCCAAAGCCTGCGGCGAGGTTTTGGCTAGCGGAACAACTTGGTAGCTGGTAGCTCGGAGCTCAGGGCTTGACAACAATCAGCCGACGTCCACGCTCTCAGGCCGCGCCTGAGGGTTTTCGCCGAGTCTGAGAAAAGAGCGCTTTGAGGACAGCCTTAGTGACTGGGGCAAGGAAGGCACCCACACGATGCCGGGCCCGGACAATTCACTACCTTGATGTAAAGAGGGCCAAGGGCGACCGGTGCTTGGCCCTGTTTGGCCTGGTGACTTCATAGGATCAACTGGATCAAATCGGGACCCCTATCGGTTTGGTTCGCGATGTCAACATATTGCGACCTTTTCGACAGGGTTGCTTTGAGCTACAAACAGTCAACCAAAGTCCAACGGTACAAAAACTGTTTGGCGTTCCTTGATATCCCTTTTCCGTGAACCAATTTTGCACCTTGCCCAGGGCCGGGGTCCTCTGTAAGTGGAGCTCTGGTTGGGTTGACTTGTCCCGCTTGGTTTGCATTTGAGGGATCGCCGTGCTGGAAGCCACCAAGTGGGTGGATGAGCTGCCCGGCTAGATGGAGGAGGATGGGTCACTTCTCAACGAGCTGATTTGGGGCTTAGATGAGCTGCCCCACGAGGAAGCTGCTTTACTAGGAAGTTCCGTGTGCTCATTGAATAAGAACTTGCCCAGACGACCGCCATGTTTGCCGAGTAAGGTCGCGTCTTATCAGGATTCTTAATGGGGATTCTTAATGGATCCAACCAATTACATCGAGTGGCGTGCCACTAGATCTCCAGATGTCCTCCAAGTGGCGAACTGGATTCACTGATCAACCTTCCAAGGGGGCTATGCGGGGAGGGGTCTATCCCCCACTGCATAACCCCTTCTGGGTGCATGAACTGAGGTCGAGCTGAAGCCATGATTCACCATTCAACATCAGCTTTTGCTTGAGCAATTCTTCACGGAGCTCTCTGCCACAGTTGATCCCCGTTGCCATGGAAGCAGAGATAACCAGGGTACCTTTTAGAGTTGAATGATCCAAGCCAGGGACCCCCAGGTTCCATGTGTACATGGCTCATGAAGGTCCTTTGCGTGAGGGATTCCCTATTTTCAACTTGTGAATGATAGTACTTCGCCCATCAATTTCCCCGTGTTCCCCGCCTTTCAGTTTTTGCCCGCCGTCCAAGGCTTGTGACTCACTTGCCCTACGTGTCCATGTCGCTGTCCATGGCGGAGGCGCTGCAGGTGCGTTGGCTGTGCCATGGCGACGACATGCCGGTCTGCCCAGGCGGGTTTGGGTCCACTGCGACCACTCTCAAAACATGAGTCTTCACGGAAGATTTGATTGGGTGGTCAAAGAGGGGTGATTGGGTCGGCTTCCAAGCCGGTCCGGCTCGTCCTCCATTCAGGTTCCAACTGGGACATGTTTCCAATGGCCATCTGGCCACGTCAGACAGGTTCAAGGAGAAGCCCACAGAGAATCCATGAACCCCAAGCAGACAAATGAACTTGACAGCCTTCCTAAAGCCACTGGCCGCGTTGCTCCTTCTGCACATATTTCTCTGGTTAGCCACATGTATACTTGAGGCGTTGGTAGTTCGAGGCCATGCGGTAGGATCTCTGGTTGCGGCAAGCGGTTCAATGCCCAGATAAATGATGACTCGGCATCATTCCCTTTCCATGTGCAACCTTCTATTGAGATGATTCAGCCCGTGCCCCAATGTGCTACTGCTCCAGAAGGGCATCGGTTCTTGTCTCAGGCCAATATCAAGCTGTTGAAGGCACTATACAGTAAACGATGATACTTCAGCGCCTGGCTCATATGTAAAAATAAAAAGGGGGGGTGCAGTTTTCTTTCGGTGCTGTTTGCTCCACCAATGATGGCAACATTCAACCATTTTGAAGTGCAGATGCGTGCAGCCTCCGGGTCCTTACCGCACTTCCCCCCCCCCAGTCCTTCATACCAGGATTCAGGTATGGGGCTGGGAGTACAATGAATATTATATATATGGGAGTCGTTCTAAAGGTCCTTGTAAGGAGTTTAGTATTCGGTGACCATCGGTGTTGGTTGAGGTAGCTCCGCGAAAGATTCGCGATGGAGTTGCGAAAGTAACTTTTTTGTTCGCGAAAGTTTTGCGTAGCTGCATCTTTCAAATCAGTACTATGTGAAAACACTCATCTTTTCTGCTGAATCTTCCTTCTAAGCTGATTAAAACATTTTGTTGTTTGCCCCCTGATAAAGCCTGGTGACGCTACAGTTTGATACCCTGCTTCGCTGGTTAGTGCTCCAGGTGTCCGGGTGTTTGTCGGTGGCTTTAGAAACGTGAGTGATGTTTCGCGAAAGTTCCGCGAAAGATCCGCGAAAGCCCGCGCGAAAGCGCAGGCTTCGATTGCAAGGGGAGGTACTTTCTGAGCGCCGCGCTAGTCAGAGTACTCGCTTGGTACTGAAAATTTGCAACTTCAAGCGCGGCTTTCGTGCTGGAACTGCGGAAGTGCATTTCGTGTACTGGTGCTGAAAAGTTGCGAATTTCCAGCTGGAGTCGCGGAAGTGCATGCGACTTTATTTAGAGTACTAAACCGGTACTTAAAAGCTACGACTTCCCGACTTGAGCAATGAAAAGTGCACGGCGATGAATCCGCGAAAGATTCGCGAAAGTAACTTTTTTATTCGCGAAGAATGGCCGTTTCAAGACAAAGGAATTTAGAACAACCACCATATATATATATACGTTTTATATGTATTACACCCCACCCGCCAGGATCACGAGGAGTTTGTTTGGCTTCAGACAACAGGACTACATGGTCTTTGTTTTCTTTGTGCAACGTCACTTTTCCATACAGCGCCACTGCGCTTGCATCATGGATGTTTTCCGCATACATTGGTTAACAGCCTGGAACCCGCATGTGCATGTTGGTGTGTCCTTCTGTGTTGAGCCCAAAGGTATCCAGGTATCCAACCACGGGTTTAGTTTCCTCTCATCCTATGTTTCCAAAGGTGAACTCCAAACAGCTATTCTTGTTTGCGAACGTGTTCTCTTTCTCGAGCCGCGGGGCGTTTTTGCCCGAGGCGGCGGCGACATGTACGCCGAGGTCATAGAGAGCGGCCGGTTCCAAGTGCTGAAGCGGACGGAAGGGATCTCCACCACGCAGCCGCTGGGACCGCGTGGGTGCCTAAACCTACTAAATTGTTTGCCATGTTTGAGCTTACCCAAAAAGGGGACGGATATTAAAGCGAAGAAGACAGGGTCCATCCCAAGAGGGGCCCAAGATAAGCCTAGGACAAGGCCTTAAGGTCTTGGCAAGATGCTGATAATCCGTGGACCCCCAACAGACGCCCAAGTTCCTGACAAGAGGGTTGCCACTCGCCCCGAACCACTAAGGTGCAGTCACTACTGCAAACTTGAACTTGAAGCGACCGGGTGGGCTTGTTGCAGGCCTTCCAGCTTGTTGCCGACTACTTGAGTCATGTTTAGTCGGCATCCACTGTACCCCCAAAAGAAAATGGTAGATGACTACATATATATATATATATATATGTATGGCACCCGCACCGGAGAAAGCAAACTACAGTTTTCCACATATAAATGTCATTTGGGTATGGGTCAAACTTAAACAACCAGGGGACCGCAGGTTTTAGTGGCTAGTTCCATTTACCAGGGTTCCATTTTGGCTACCCATTTTTGACCCACAGCTATTTTGGCCCTACTTGCTCACAATCAAATACACTCTAACTAGCAGACCCCCATCGGAGAAAGCTACATGTTTGCACATATCAATTTCATTTGGGTATGGGTCAAAATTAAGCAACCAGGGGACCGCAGGTTTTAGTGGTTAGTTCCATTTACCAGGGTTCCATTTTGGCTACCCATTTTTGACCCACAGCTAGTTTGGCCCTACTCAAAGACACTCTAACTAGCAGACCCCCACCGGAGAAAACTACATTTTTCCACATATCAATTTCATTTGGGTATGGGTCAAAAGTAAACAACCAGGGGACCGCAGGTTTTAGTGGTTAGTTCCATTTACCAGGCACAATCAATTACACTCTAACTAGCAGATCTGGCAGTTGACCTCACTCCCCACTCAAGCCCAAATAAGTAGCATTTCTGGCTCCAATTGTGGGTCGCTGGGAATGTTGCGCAGCATTCCCAACCTGGGTACATGTTGCGAAGCATTTGGCTAAAAGAAAACACACAATACAGACAAAACAACAATTGGCAACACATTCCAGCGATGGTGAGGGTAGGATTTTGTTTGTTGTTGTTTACTTTGTGGTCGCAACATTTTGGCAGACATGGCCATGGACCAACAAACACATTCTTGGCGTGGGGCGGGGCAGCTTTTCAGCTCAATCAAGGGACCAAAAGAAGCAACCTGGTTTGCCGAGTTTCTCCCAGTGTTTCTGTGACGTCCCGAAAGCAACCAGAGAAGCCTTGCAAAGCCGAGGATCATCGAGCGCCTCATTCAGCAGCAGGGCTGGAACTCCCATGATGCGCAGGACGGGGGGCCCCCAGCTGGGCTTGTTTTCTCCCGTAGGCTGTAGGCGTTTCTTGCCACTTTCACCGTTCAGCCACAGGGAGAAGGGGGAGGGGATTGCTCTGCAGAGTTGAGCTGTGGGCGGTTGTGTGGTTGGGCATTTGCTGCGGGAAGAGCTGTTGATGACAAATTAGTGGAGTAAAATTAGCCTCGTTTTTTTTTTTGGTGGGGGTGGGGGGGAAGAGGAGGGATGCGACGATTGAGTGCGTGCTGAGCACTTGTGGCGAGCAAGAACGCGAGAATATGGGTATGTGCCAGAATAGGGGGAACCCTCCAAATGGTGGTGGTTGTCCTCAAAACCAACCTGAAATGGGTACCCTCAAACCAACACAAGCCCTATGTGGCTGGGCCCAGCTTTGGAAACCACGTGAGGTGGATGCGCTAGATATTGAAGCAAGTAGGGAAAGGTGGAAACGCTACAAATTCCCATTTGTTCTTGGTTCATTTGCAATGGGGGCTCTGCCGTACGACACCGCATGTGCGCATTGAGCAGGCACCCTTTGGGCGGTCCCGCATGCCTGAAAATACTTCCCATAGCTCTCAACCATGCAAATTCCATGAGCAACATTCCGGACCTCCAGTGAGGCATGCCCTTTTGCCCCTGCAGCTTTGAAATCCACCAAAACGACGGTGCCCTCACGGTGCCCTTTTTCTCCCATGGAAGTCCACTGGCCGTGCGACATATGGTGAATAAAAAACCAGAGGGTTTTCCCTGCATTTTCTGTGGGAAATCTACAGGTCTGTGGTTTCCAGCAGCCCCCTTCTTACCTTCTGGCTCCCCGCATTCGTGCCACGGAGACTTGACCAGCAGGTTGAGGCCTTGAGCTCTGCGCTGTGCACCACGCAGCGGCTCAGCCAGTTTGCGGAGAGGCGCTTTGCGGCGAAGCGACACCGTTTTGTGAGAGGAGACCTTACCACGCTGCCTTGGAACCTGGAATGAAAACTGGCTGGTTCCCGCTGTTTTTGTTTTGCCTTGTTCAATCGCTCGTGGTAAGGTGGACGGCTTGAGGGGAGATTTGCTGGTTAGTCGCAACTTGTTCCTTGCTTGCGATTTGACAAGGAACTGAACGGTGAAAGGCTACCGTGACCCAGAGTATCGGGCTAGTTTGGGTGGGGTTCTATCGGTTTTGCCGGTTTTTGGTGGTTGTTGGCAATGTTGTCATAAGTGGTGAAAAACATGTTCGCCACTGGAGCAGCTGGCAGTGACTCAGTGAGGGGCCGCGGTTGCATGTGTTGCTAAATTCCCTGTACTCATGACCCATAGCTTGTTCACTGCTTGAAAGGGGCATGTGGGTTTGGCCTGTAGTACTTCTGCAAGGAATTCTGGCAAATGTTCAGCACTCACGTATCACGACTGGAGCTCTGCAAGTTCATCACATTGACTCAGAATGTTCAGTCTCCTGTAGATTAAGATGGAACCCCCAAACCTATCATGTTTGGAGTGCCGTCCGAACTATTTTTAGTAGCTTTCCGTATCGTATTTGATCCATTTGCGCTCGCTTTCCACGTTGAAATTGGGAATCGTGCCCAGGGTCCTCAGGTTCCACGGACATGATCCTGCGGAGAAATCTAAAGCTTGCATGGCTTTGTTTCTTGGTTTCTGAGGGCTCTGCGGTTCCCGACAACGCTGGACTTCAACCTTCTGCAATGAAAAACATGAACAGGTAGTGTCAAGCTATACATCAGAACGTCACCACAAAATATTGGTGATATGTTATTTGTCATTTGGCCAGGCAAGATCTGAAGTCTCTGAGCTCCTCCCAGAGGGTCGTCTACGTGTCTTGGCTCGAGGGATTCCAATTGGCAGGTGCGGGCAGTTGCCATGTTCATCCATGCTGAACATTGTGTGTGTGTGTTTCTCAGAGGGCACTATTTCTATATTGGTTTGAAGGAACACCGACAGGGACAACACACCACTATTTTAGCATATACCCAACTGGCTACTTAGACGTTGCTGAGGTAGGGATGGTCATTAACTTGCTGACATTTTTGGGGACAACTATCAACCCCCTGGCGCCTCCTGAAAGCAATGGCAATGCTGAAACGAGCTCAACCTCAGCTATTGCACTACCAAGCAGATTGGGTAACCTTGAATGTAATCTACAAAGCAATCGTTGTGAATCCATGCAGTGTCATGACATCTCCAGCAGCACGAAGCTTTCACAAAGCCAAATGATGGAAAGTGCTGGCCGGAGGGGCTGATTTACAGGTCAATTAGCACCCATGTTTGGGTGCTTCTCGGTAGTATTTTTGTTGTTGTGGCTTGCTTTGAGGCAAACCCGCCCGGTTTATAAAGTGTGTGGGTTGCCAGGGGTGGAAGTTCTCGTGCAGCCGCTGCTGTCTTGCAATTATCTGATGGCTTGCCTGCAGCGTGGCTGAACTTGTTGCCGCAAGCTTTATTAAATTGCAAATGCATGGAGCAGGTAACCGGTCTGTTTCCTATATTCCGCGGCGAAGCTACTCCCCCCGATGAGCCGTAGGCGGTAAGTCGGGCACGCTCTCCCCAAGCTTAGCAAGAACAAGCTGAACATGATGTATTTTGGCTTTTGCAGTTCATTGCCTTGCCATATCAAGAAAACGGCCATAGCCGGGACTCAGCATCCGCCAGAATGAGTGTCCTGAGCACCAGCTGTCAGTTGAAAAGCTCACTGTCTTTACGGTTCACTCAGTCGGGTTTCCAGTTTTTTGCGATGGTCCGGTCTGGCATTCTTTGGTCGACCAGTTTGGCAAACGGGCAGAGTCCACGCCTTGAGGAGCTCCAAAATGATGACCGTGCCACCGTTTCTCTTTGAACGCAAGCAAACGGAGGGGTCCGGTGAACGCATAGGACCTTCTTGGGTTTCTGGAAATCAAAGTCTCAGCCACAGCTGGTTGAGATTCCAGCCATAGAAGCTAGAGATCGATGCCTCAACTGAGCACAGAACCTGAATCGCATTGCTCCTTCGTTTGTTCTTGTTACTGTCAGAACCCAGACACTCTTTGATCGCACAATGTCGTTATTTCAGACGGGTGTGGCTGAAAGGTCAGATCAGACATGCAAAACATGCTCCGAGGCAACACACGAAGGCCCCGCGAGCCCGAAGGGCGATGAAACAACTAGTGTATATGGTATACGCGTTCCTATTCAGGGAGCCCTGGCCATGCTGACAAGCGCTTTGGCCATAGCGCTGACTCTGAGATTCACTCAAAGCATCCATTTGGGAGGGATATGACTGGGGTAGTTTCCCACATCATCTTAGGCGACTCGCACATTTGTCATGTCCCATGTCCTTTTTTGTCCCCATGGTAACAGCATCCATTTGCATGGCACCCCAAGAAAGGCAGCATGTGTAGTTGAATCTTTTTGGACCCCCTGGGTTCCATGTAGATCTTTTCTGCGTGCCATCCCCTTGCGGGCGAGGTGCCGGGGATCTTCGATCTGCTGCACCCGGGGCACGTGAGCATCCTGCGGCAAGCTGCCGAGCTGGGAGACTTCCTGCGCGAAAGCCCAGGTTTGATCGGACGAGGGGGGGGGGGCAAATTGCAACGAGAAACCTAGATGGGCCCGAACTTTGCCCCTCTCCCTTTGTGAGCAACAAGCCATTTTGGCCTTGAAATGGTGGTTTGCCTTCCGCTTGTTGTTTTAAATAAGCCCACCTGAAAAGGGTGCTCTGAAAACACACACCCATATGGACCCTTACAGCCGAGGTGAAAGGACAATATGTGCCGTGGTCACAATACACTTTCCTTGCGGTTGCTTGGTTTTGACCTGTTGAAAATTCAAGAGCTAGGGCTTCCCCTCTCAATACGGGGGGAAGCCAACCGTTGCGCTGCTGTTGGATTTGGTTCTTCCATTCTCAGGGACGTTTCCATCACACGATTTCCTCCAATGACTCTTGCGAGGGATTCCTTGATGTCATGCCATGTGCTTTTGCCATGAAGTCCAGGCGTTTTTGCGATGAATGTCCCTGCCCCCACCCAGAATAGGGGCCACTTCTGCTTGCGTTTTCAGCAAGCCGGTTTAGACCGCCACAAGTTTGACCATCTCGGATGCGATTTCCCGAGCGCCATGGCCCCATGGCCCCATGGCCGAGCGGCCCGAGGCTGGTGGGCCTTTTCTCCGACGAGGTGGTGCGCCAACAGCGGGGCGCCGCGCCGGTGCTGACGCTGCTGGAGCGGGCCATGGCGGCGCCACGGCCTGAAGCCTCGAGCAACTTGTGGTGTGGATGGGACAGGGCTGCTGGGTCTGGTTGTGGTTTGGGCGGGATTACCGGTGTTTGTGGTTTGGGAGGTTGGTTTGGGTCGAGGGTTGGGATGGTTAGGGTGGTGGGTCGAGAAGGTGGCAACACGACACCAGCGCCCCAAGAAGGTCTATCAGAAATGGGGGCCCTGCTGTCGGGCGGTGACTTGTGCTCCAAACTGTGCCCCGAAAGGGTTTCTAGTTTTTACGCAGCCCAGAGAAAATCTGCCAACCAGAAAAGGTGCCGAGGAGCAGTAAATATGTTTGTCATGTTTAGTTGTTGCAATTGGGTGGACGTGGTGGGGAAATCCACTCACCCAATTGCCACTAGCAAACGGGATTGCTCGCCAATATGCCATGTGAAAAAAAGGCATGGTGGGTAATGATGGCTGCTCACACGGACACTGAGCAGAGGAGGTTGGGGTAAAATTGGTGACACACCAAGACCTGTATCTTTTGTAGAAAGAAAGCGAAAGTTCGAACTTGTCCAACTCTCATTTTTTGAAACACCTTCCTGGTGGCAGAAAGACCTGCAGCATCTCAGTTTGTTTGGCCTGGTTTCACTTTGGTTTCAGGAGCCTGAGAGCATGCATCAGAACGCCAAATAGGCATTAGAATGACCAAAGGGATGAAACGTGGAAATGCCAGGTGTGGGATCATTGGTCAACAGCTCTGACTTTGCCATTCTGGCAGGATCCATTGCCTGCTCTTGTTGCGACTAATCTGCGTTCCATCAGTCAATCGTGGGTGTCAACGAGGAACCCCCAAATGGGATTTCTTTCGGTTTCCCGTGAATCCCTTTGGTAAGGAAAAGGGGAGTCCTCAAAAAAGTAAATCTATCCGTATCTCTATATATATATATATCATTTGTAGCCCTTGATTTGGCCTAGCCACCGTTGTTTTGTTACTCCGGACTGGGATGACCCCCTTTCCGTTTGGAAGCCACACGCCGGCTTTTGCTTTAAATTTGTTGTTGCGAGCGCTCAGATTTCTGGCTCGGTTCTTCGTGGATCACCCACCGAACCGATGACGCGGGATCCAGGTGCTGTCCATGCGCTGGGTGGATGATGTGGTGCTGGGCGCTCCCTGGAAAATCACCCAGGAGCTCCTGGCGTCCATGCGCCTTGCCTCAATCGGATGGGTAGGCGGCTACGATTGGGAGAGGGGCTTAAGGAGCAGAAGCACTCCAACCCTTGGGGTGTTTGGGTGTGTTGCCGTTAAGGGAGACTTCAGGTGTTTAGCTAGCTGGGCTATGGAAACCCTGAGGCAACCCAAACCTCTCGGTACTGCATGGCCTGGCTTCAAGTAAATCTCCTTGCCCACAGTGGCGCATTTGTGTGCGCCATGCCTTGATTTGCCCCATCAGCCACACTTGTCGTTTGCTGTGTACAGATATGTACATGTTATACACTATATTTATGGTGTTCGCTTCTGAGTTGACGGTACTTCCCTCCCGATAGGGCTCCCAAGACTCCAGAGCAAGCAGAGCCGTGTTTGGCAACACTGATCACTTCCTCCTGTTTAAGGAGTTCGGTCCAAAGAGAGACCCTAAATGCCTCGCGCGGTCATGTTCTTGGAGATGGGGCAGTTCAATGGCGACAATGGCTGCCGCATGGAATGCAGTTCCCATCAACAGGAAAAGCCACCATGGGCCTCAAGAGCTACTTTTCCGCTTGGATTTGTATCAAGCCCCGAAGTGCGGAAACTCCATCCATGGCCCTCAAAGACATTGGTGTGGATTTGTGTCAGGTAGGGAAACCTATGAGAGAATACCATTTCCCTACAGAGAATTCCACCTCTTCGAGTGGGCTTGGCCTCGTGCCTTGAGAGCCGTCCTCCTCCCGCTCCGAAGGAACGTCAGCTGCGTGGTGCTGGGCAGGCCGCCCTCAGCGCCCGCCTCCGAGGCGCAGGCGGGCTGCGGGCGGGCGGCCGGTGGGCTGCAAAACTGGCGCGCAGAAGAAATGTAGGCCGCAGCAAACAAATTGGGCTGGTCCACCTCTTGGTGCTAGGATTATTTGTTTGTGTTGTTGTTTAGTTTCTTGAAAGCCTACAAAATGTCGTTTGTTAAGAGGGGTTGACGCAGGTCGTGGGGTTCAAGGCGATGATTCCTGTGCTTGGAGATGAAACACTGGCCTGGAGAGTTTCGCAGATTAGGATATCTTTGAATGACTTTGGCGCCACCCAAAGGGTGATCATTCCATTGGTTCTGGTGGGCGCCTTCAGGGGGCGCAGCATTCAAAGACTCGCCAGATTTGGCTCCCGCCTCTGGATTGGAAGACGTTTCCGATTTCCACGAGCCAGAGCCGAATTGAATGTGAGTGGGGGACCTTATTCTGGGTTCCGGAAGAAATGGCAGGCTTCTCTCGGGCCTCCGCAATCAGGAGCAGGTCAGCTTCGCGCGGGAGAAGGGCCTCTTGCGAGAGCTGGAGAGTTCCTTCTCCATATCTTCTGAAGCCTTGCCCGGAACTCAGAGCCCCGTATTCACCAGCTTGGACTATCCAAA